AGGAAGGGACTTCTGCCTGCTAGATCGCCTTCCTGCCGCCTTTCCACTTGGATCGCCTTCTCCAGCCATCCCTCGAGGCCGAGGCCGCGACTCTGGGGCACGAGTGAAGGGCAAAGGCGAACCCGCTCCGTAGGGGGGGGGGAAGCCGCCTCTTCTCCTGCCGCGGCTGTCGGACTACAGGCCGAGGTCCCCCCCCATACACAACCGCCGGCGAGGAAAGGGAGTCTCTCCGACCGCGGATTTCTTGGCTTCTGCTCTCTGGAAGGGAAAAAGCGGTGGCGATCGGGGAAGGGAGGGTCGCCCGAGAGAGGCGCCTTGGAAGCGCCGAACGACTCTGCGCGGCGAGGCAGCCACAGCCCGCGCCGACACCGAGGAGAAGCCGGCGACCTGGCCGCGTTCAGAGCGCCACCCAGCAGAAGTCAGGCCCGGCTGCGGGGCTGGGGAGGAGAGTGGGGGGCGGTGAGCGAAGAACGTGGCAGCTTTCGCAACGCAGGGGGGGAGGAGGGGGGAGAGGTCCAGCCCCGATGGAGCCCGTTGGGTCCAGGCCGCGGCTCTTCCGCACTTCTTTCCGGGCGGCGTTGTTCCTTCAGGCTGGATCGCCCAGGCACAAGTCTAAAGGCTGCGCGCCACGGATTGCGCGGCCGATCTTCCAAGGGCGGCGGCTGCTGCTTCCAATTCGCCTCCGGGGTTGGTAAAGCCTCCCCCCCCCGCCCCGATCGAAAGAGTGAACTCGTGCGCCGCTGCCGGCAGGGACGTGGCTAGTCGACAGGTGGAAAGGGCGCGCGCGGAAAAGAGGCTGTGCCGGTGTAACCGCCCTCAGCTGTGGGAAACCGACTTCTGGGGGAAGTCGGGGGGAGACAGCCAGGCCGCTGGCTGCACAATCTCCTCTTCCTTCCCCCCCCCCCCCCCCGCTGTCTGGGTTGTTGCGGGCCTTTCGTCACTCACCGGCGAAGCCCGAGGCTGAGTTGCCCGGAAAGGCGCCCAAAAGCTCTCTCAAGTGGGCCTTTTCTGGCTTCTGGAGCCCAACGCCTCGCTGCCCGGCCCGGCCCCTCCCTCGGCCTTCCCGGTCCTCGTTCCCACAGAAATGAGGCTGCTGAGCGCCGCTCTGCCCGCACGGAGGAGCGGGGGCTGCTTGCGAGCGGGGCCAAGGCGAAGGGGCACCTTTTCCCGCCCGCCCGCGCCAGTCAGGGCCCAGGAGAAGCCGTGGCGCTGGCGCGTGTTTACCTTTGGCCACCCTAACCTTTTTTTCCCCCTCGCTGACCTGCGGTTGAACCTGCGATTAACAGCGCTTCGCCAGTTCGAGGATTTGCTGCATCTCTTTTTTGCTGGTGGTGCGGATTCTTCCTCGCAGGCCCCCGAACGTAAATATAAATTCCTGTTTGTGAGGTGAACTGAAGGCCAAGGATTACTTTTAGGGGAAGAGACCGAAGGCCGGCCCGTTCCTCAGCACGGGAGAGGCTTAGGCGGTGGAGAAGGAGCGCCCACCGGCGGGATTGGGGCGCCTCCTGAGCTGGGGATTTGACCCCAAAAGCCACTCCTGACGGACGTTGGCCAAGAGGAAAAAGTGGGGGGCGGGCGAACGAGCGCCAAGTCTGCTCCAAACTCAGTCGTCCTGGGGGGGGGGTGTCTTACACTTCCAGATTTTAGCCATCTAATTTTATTTCTGTTTCTGCCTTCGTCAATTCCTGGTTGACTGGATAAGTCTCTGCATTTCTTTTGGCAAGATTTTCAGAAGTGGGTTCGGGTAGTCTCCTTCCTAGGGCTGGAGAGAGTGGTGGGTCCAAGGTCACCCGGCTGGCTTTTGCCTCGGGCAGAACTACAACCGTCTTTAACCACTTTAACCACTACGCCAGTCTTGTTCTCTAGTTTAGGCGGCCATCTCTCTGGGGAGGGGGCTGGTGGTCACAAATTCTTGCCAATCAGGTGAAGGTATGCCTATAGATCCGGATCTAATGGACACCCGTACTCTCCTTTTTCCAAGGCTCTCCTGTGCAAGAATGGGGACCGAGAGACGATGCGTATGAATGCGGTAGGGAGGGACTGCTACCAAAACTTGGCCGACTCGATCTCAATATGTGTGGCAGCTATTTGGTTCGAAACCAGATCAAATCTGAAGCCAGATGGAGCGGACCCCTACAGATATCTCCCTCCCACCAGAGCCACGAGGGGAAGGGGATTAACAGTACCGATCTAATTTAATCGCATGAAGCTTATTATTGATTACTTAATTATTTACATAGCCGCATCAGAAGGTTGCATAGATCGGTGAAGAACAAACTTCCAGAGACAACAAGCTCAGATTAGTCTCTGGAGAAATGATGAAACCTCCCATAGGTGGTGGTTAAAAAGTAGTCATGGACAAAACGGTAGAGAAGTCTAACATTGATCATCTAAGTTACAAAATCTCCACTCTGCAGAAGGTGTGGAAGGCTCTAATTAATAGAACGGCTAAAGACCTTAGCAAAGTTCCCAGTTCAATAACATGGTTCATCAAGTTGAGGTGTTAGGGGAGAACAGCGAAACCAAATGGACCTTGTGGCGCCAAAGTGAAACTAGATTAACTCGCGAACGGCATACGCCTTTAGATAACAGCAGGCCGGAATCCAGCAAACCCTTCTCGCTCCTCGTTTCATTTCCATGCCCGAAAAAGTATTGGGATAAATTGCATTTCTGCATATCATGCAGAACGCAAACGAGGGAGAGGCTGGAAAACCCGAGGGCAGGCTGGCAGGCAGGCGGCGAAGGTGACTTTAAATCCAAATAGTTTGACTCAAGGAAATTGCCAACAATTTAGCTGCCAGCAACGCTCAGGGTTTTCACAGGTAATTATTATTCATAGAGGAATTTCGCAACTTCTCGAGTGGGGGAAATACTTAAGAGGGATGTAACTTTTAAGAATGTGGGCCAGCCAGGGATGGACTCTGATCGAGGAGATCCGGATCCTACAACCGTGAAACTCACTGGGTGACTTTGGGGCAGTCCCGCTGCCTTTCCGGAACGCCGGCGCTGGGAAGCTAGGAGGGAATGGGGTTAGTAGGAAACCGGACCGAGCGCTGGTCAAGACTGTAATTGACGATTAGTGTCCAGTCGGTTTTTTTATTTATTTAGAAATGCCCGGATCAGGTTCGCTCTTCCTTTCTTATATAACACGAGTCTTCATTTTGTGCTGGGCTGCATCACAGGGGCTGGTAAAACTAAAGGAAGGAACCGACTTTCCAGGACTTGGTTATTTTTCAGTACATAATTTGGAACTCCACGGTCTCAACGTTTACTGTGCGAGAAAAGGCGTCTAGACAGCGGCTTCGGTTGCTCAGCACGCTTAACCAATTCGGTGAAAACCCTCACAGCGCATTTCCAGAACGCTTTCAGCCTTTTTAATCAAATCATAGCTTTATTGTGGTCACAAACCAGCATAAATCTGTTTATTGGTTGATTGGCTGTGGCTTACCTGTTTTGCGAATAAACCTGGTTAGTTTATAGTGCGATAAATTTTGGATACCCAGAAGAAAATTAATTTGCGTGAACAGAGTAAACTCGTTCGAGGTTCAGGACTTTCAATGAGATTAGGAAAAAATATCTATCAGAGCTTTTCAGTTGCCGAAGGTGGTCTATTATGCCCAACCAGCTGAAATTCGGCTCAGCCTGGCTTGTGCCCCCACCGCCTTTGAGAGAAGCTGGTTCTCCAGGGAGGAATCGAAGCAAAACTCCTAGGCCTTGAAATGAGACTAAAGGAACCCTAAAACAACCACTGCAGCTCAAATTAGCTTTCCCTATACTGGCTGGCTAGCTAAACTGCTATAAATCTCGTTGAATTCAGTAGGCTGCCGCTTAAAACATGAAAAACTGGGCGTCTTGCTAATGGGCTGCACAGAAGCGGACAATTGTCGGAAAGGTTTTAAAGACCCTCCGTCGAATTTAGGAATTTACTTTTGAGCAAACGAGGAGCAGGAAGGGACCGCCGCGCTGCCCTTGGATGGCCGGAATCACTTGCCTTTAATTGGGTGAAAAACCTGGTTGCTCCGCTGCTCTGCACAATCCTGAGGCGCGTTTATTCGGAAGAAGCCCTGCACGGCCGCAAGCACATTTTTCGCCGAGTTATTCTATTTCGGGAATAAGCTTTAAGGCTGTGTAACCCGCATGCGTATTAACCTGGTTCACGCATCTCGCTTAACCCTAAATCTACCATAACTGGCTGAGTTTTACACCCGCGCTAAGCCCAACCCAAACCATGCCACAGAACGTGTGAACCCCAGGGAATAAGAGACTGCGGTAGATTCCGAATCAACGCTGCTAGCTTTACCCTGTTCTGCTTGGATTGCCAGTCCCTCGTTTAGTCGCTGTTCCTATGGCTTGGTTTCTAGTTGCAAGGCGCCGCCAGAAATCAGAGAGGGCGGACTCCGGGGTCGAAACACTGAGGATGGCACGGCGAGGCCGAACCGGCGGATCCTGCGAGCAAACGCGCGAACGCACCGCCGCACCTGCTTCCCACGCAGCCCTGAGGCTCGAGCGAGATGCCCGACTTCTCCAGGTGTAAAGAGGACGGGTTCCAGAACAGCCGCCTTGGGATCGGAGCTGTAGAGCTCCCTTTAATTCTTCAGAAGGAGTATCCACACACCCCCAGGACCCGGATCCCAGGGCCGGGAGCTGAACGCCCGGAGCTGTTAGCGGGCCCGAGTGAAAGGAGACCTCGCCCGCTTCGGGCCCGCGGTTTGGCGAAGGGGCGGGGACGGGAGGGCGCAACCCCCGCTAAAGCTTGAAGCCAGGGCAGGGCGGGGTCGAGGAAACGATGGGGCGGAGCTTGCTGGCCACCAGCAGCAATTAAAGCTGAACTTTGGATGAACTAATTGATCGTCCGGACCAAGGTAAAGTGGGCAGCGACCTGGGGGCGAGGATGGGTATAAAAGGGGTCCCCGAAGCGGGGCTTAGCCCTTGCGCTCCGTCGCTCGGCGAGAGGGAGAAGGCAGGTGCCCCGCTGCTGCCGCTGCCGCCTCCGCTCAAGCATGGGCTTCTCGCTTCTGCTGGCCAGCGCCGTGGGCACCCTCGTCCTGGTGCCGCTCTTGCTCTGCCTGGCCTCGGTGAAACTCTGGCACTGCTACTGCCTGCGGGGCCGCGATCCCGCTTGCCCCTTGCCGCTGCCGCCGGGCACTATGGGGCTGCCTTTCCTGGGAGAAACTCTCCAGCTGGTGCTGCAGGTAAGGCGAGGAGGGCGGCGGGCACCGCGCCTTCTCGCTTGGGGGAGCGGGACCCGACCCGAGCGCCCGGGCTCAACTCCGCCGCTCGCCCTTTCCTCCCCAGCGTCGGAAATTCCTGTCGATGAAGCGGCGGAGATACGGCCGCGTCTACAAGACGCACCTCTTCGGGAGGCCCACGGTGCGGGTGATGGGGGTGGAGAACGTGCGGCACATCCTATTGGGTGAACACCGGCTGGTGGCCGTGCACTGGCCGGCTTCGGTGCGCATCATCCTGGGCTCCGGCTGCCTCTCCAGCCTGCACGACGGCCAGCACAAGCACCGCAAGAAGGTGAGTGGGTTGGAAAACGGATCTCCCCTGGTCCGGCCGGGATTTAGCACGTGGGAAAAGGAGGTCGGCCGCTATCTTACAGACGGAGGAAGGTTCGTCGCGGAGTCTGGGCTCCTAATTATGAGAGAGGAGATGGATTTTGTATGTATGTATGTATGTATGTATGTATGTATGTATGTATGTATGTATGTATGTATGTATGTATGTATGTATGTGATTGTGGCGGGACAACCAAGGGACCTGAGTCTTAGATGAAAACCTTTACACTGAAGTCGAGTGAAGTTTTAAGGAGAGCGGCTAGACCCCAGTTTTTATGTGTGCGATGCATGTTTTAGCTTGTAACTTTAGCCAAAAGAAAAAAAAAGTCCCGGTATTCATCGGACGGGCCTGCTTCGGAGTAAACGGGCTGTAGGACGCGTTTTAAAAGGAGGGGGAAGAAGGGAAGAGAAAACCCCAGAGGAGTACCTTAAAACGCATCTGGGGAAGGTCCTTCCCCATAAAACAGGCCCCAATAAAATGAATGGCGCCTTTGAGAACTCTTTTCCAGAAGCAACGGGGGCAATCTAGAGGCCATAAAGAGGGGTTGGCGCCCCGACCACCATACCTTAAGACTTACTATGAAATCCCCCCCCCCTTTCCAAAGTATTTCCTTTCCTTTCAAGTGGTTGGAAGATGTGCCAAAAAAAAAGGGCAAAAGTCCATGTAATCGCTTTCTGCTCACTGGCAGTTGTAGAAGATTTGAAAAGAGAGAAGTTTTGTCTCCATATCTTGACCACACTGACCTTCTCTGTCCTGGTTGGGGAAAATTGCTGAAGTTCTCCTCAGAGGTGTGTCAATTTTAAAGTAGTAGTTTCTTGGCTCTTGTTCCTTTTTAGTCCATCTAGTGATGCAATCTCATGTTTTTGAGATTTTTGTCTGATGGCAGATAAATTCTCCCAGGCTGGTTCTGAGAACTTTTATTAATCAACAATGTAGTTGCATGAATATTGCACAGATACATCATGCAGAAGATATTGTGAATATGGATCTTGCTAAACCTTTTCAGTAGAGGCCACAAAGGAACAAAAGCTTTTCTCCCTTGCAGCCAGTTTCACATTACAGTTTCAAGGTGTGTAAGATTTTATTGTCTACTATCTTAAGGATGAGGTCAGCTGATCTTTGTGGGTGTGATCAGGAGTGTGGGTCCTGATGATGAAGTAAAAGTGGAGCAAGGACGGGGGACAGTTTTTATGCTGGCTTTATCCTGAACTGTCTCAGGAATGAATGGATAAATTGTCCCTATTTGCATACACATCTCCTGGCAACATGTTTTCCATAATGTCCTTGTTATATTACCTTCAACTCATCCCCAATTCATATCTAAAGTCACTTGTTGATGTTTGGATTTAAAATGGCTTACTGCATCTTATCCCAAATGCAATTTTTGTGATTGATTCTATCTGGCATGCTTTGGTGATACATTGGGTCCTGTCTAGCGCCTATTGTCTGTTTTAGGCTGGTTGTATCGGCTTCCTCCCTCTGCCTACTGGGCACTGATCTCCATGTCCATTTTGGCTTAAAAGGGCCCATCTCTCAAAACAACCAACTTAAATGAACCCCATGATACCATAGGGAGAGAGATTGGTACGTTCTTTTCCCCATTAGTAGGAGAAACAAATCCACCAATCCCTCTTCTTAATTTGATCTGCAAAGGGGGGGTATGTAAGAAGGTATATAAGAAATAGCACCATTTGTGAGCCTAATTTCCTTGGCAGAACAGAGATTGGGAATTTTGTGTGTGTATAGGAGGAACAATTCAATTTATGTTGGATTTTTTTTCTTGGCTCAAGGAGTAGAAGATAGCATTTTAGGTTAGTTTTGAGGAAGAATCCTCACCCATGGGAAAGGTCCTGGAAAAATAGACAAATATAGGATCTATTTTATTTCCCACCTCCCAGAACCTAAGATCACCAATGCAGTTGTGTGATAAGCAAATATGTTCAGAATTTGGATTCTGAGTTCAGAAATGATTCAACTGAATTGAATTCCCTATAAAAAGCCAAATCCATGTTAGCTACTCTTAGAAAAATCAATTATTTAGCTCAAAACAAACCACTGCTCTTTGGGACATAAATGATTCCCTTAAAAAGGACAACACATTATTATTGGTTTTAGTTCCTGAAGTCACCTAGGTTCCTTAGATACATCTAGTTTTATCCTTGCTGCATTGATTTGGAAAAAGCCTACTTGAGTTCAGCTGGATTTTCATTTCAGTATATGAACTCAGGGTTATAATTTCATTGTTCAAGCCATTTGGATTCTGAAGGTGCATTCAGCTGGTTTTTCTCTTAACCATACTGAAGCTTTTACTGCCTCTTTAAGAAACATGTTAAATGATTAAATTAGTCCAGCTTTAGAAAATGAAAGAGAACCACATACCACTCATCTGATGGAGACTTTGGATAGATTTAATAATTCAGCTGTAGCCTCCAAACTTTCACCAAACTGAGGTGATTAATAATAATCCCTCCTTTTTCCATTTCAGGTCATCATGAAAGCTTTCTCCCGGGAAGCCTTGGAGCATTACACCCCAGTCATCCAGGAGGAGGTGTGTGCTTGCTTGAAGCAATGGCTCTTGGTTAGTTCTGCTAGTGGCTCTTGCCTATTGGTTTACCCCGAAGTTAAGCGCCTCATGTTCCGGATTGCAATGCGCATTCTACTGGGATTCCAGCCCAATCAGGCAGGTTCCAAGAGTGAGCAGCAGCTGGTGGACACCTTTGAAGAGATGATCCGCAACCTTTTCTCCCTGCCAATTTATGTGCCTTTCAGTGGCTTATACAAGGTAAAGCTGTGAAGTTTGGCTCTCTATATAAACTTAGGTGATGGGATAGAACTACTGTAGGCAGGCATGTCTAACCTTGGCAACGTGAAGACTTGTGGACTTCAACTCCCAGAATTCCCCAGCCAGCTGGGAATTGAAGTTCACAAGTCTCAAAAGTTGCCAAAGTTGCTTTAGGGGAAAAGCTGTGTTTCTCAGATCATGAACACAGTCCTGTATTATAAAGACTCGAACAATCCTGCTCTGATTCCAGGGTTTGAAAGCACGGAATGTCATCCATGCCAAAATTGAAGAGATCATTCGAGTGAAATTGGCTGAGAAGGAGCCCTCCAATGGTTATAAAGATGTGTTGCAGCTGTTGATAGAGCACACCCAAAGCAGAGGAGAACAGCTCAACATGCAGGTGAGTCTTTCAGCACCTGTCTGGAAGTCTCCAGAGACCAACTCTTTGAAGTGGCGGGTGACTGTTCTGCGTAGTTTCTCCTTTTGGTCAAACAGGAAAAGATGTTTGGCTGGCACTGAGTTGGGGAAAAATAATTTTGTATTGTATGCAAGTCTTCAGGATATCTGCTAATTATAAATTAGGTTGAAGGAGAATATAGCTGTCATGGCTGCACAACAGAGCCCAAAGTAATGGAGACTTAACTTCCTCCAGGTATAGAAATGCCATAGTAGGCTTGAGATCCAGAAAACCTATATTTTATTGTGGGTGGGAAAATTAATTAGAAAGATACATTTCTTTTTTGGAGCATCACGTAACATTTTCTCTCTATTCCTGTAATTGTAAAAGTCATACCCACTGACTTTTACAGATACCTTGTGTGCATCTGGCAATTCTAGTTTCCCATCAGATGACTGGATGTATGTATTTCCAGAGGTCTAATCCTGAAGCAGATGTAGATGTTTGTTTCTTTCTTTTCAAAAACGGTATTTTCTCCAGGTTCACTTCAATGCTTTGAAATAGCTCTTATCCTGACTAAAGTCCAGAAGAGGGAGTTGCTTGTCTTCTGATGGGCTTTTTTCATTAAGTGCAATCCTGGAAAACCTAACTCCTTGCTATGTGCCAAGATTTTCAGCATGCAGAGATCCTAGATTTTTCTTGCTCTCTTGTTTTTCTTCAACTTTGTGCTGATGTTCATTAGGTGATCACGTGCACATTTTCTCAGAAACAAGCCCTCTATAACTTGCATTCTTTCTAATTTAGTATTTATAGGATACAATGGTTCCCAATCTGAAAAGGATTATAATGCGACGTTGCTTTCAGTTGCTTGAATTCAGTTTAAATTCATTGCTTAGAGCTTTGGGGTGGGGGTGGGGGGTGGGTGGGAAATGAGTGAATAGTAACCAACCCTGCTTTAACTTATTATTTCAACACAGATGCATGGCTGGTTATGATTCAGTGACCATGAGCCCAGTTTAATAGTCTATGGCAAGGGTTTTCAAACTTGGCCCTTTTGTGACTTGTGGAATTCTGGGAGTTGAAGTCCACAAGTCACAAAAGGGCCAAGTTTGAAGACCCCTGGTCTATGGGGGTCAATTAACCATGGAAAAACCCCACCCTTCTATGAAAAAGGAAGTCCATGGTCCTGAAATGTTTGCAATTATATTAAAAGACATGGAAGTTTTGGAAGATGTGCTTCCCAATCAATACGAGCACTTAAGGAATACTGATTGAGCGTTTTGTGATGTCAGGTTCACTGATGAGAACTCCTGGAGAAACATGTGGAGAGGGGAGCAGGCTGGAGACAAACCTCAGTTCCCCTAGTGACACCTATTTCTAAACTTCAGTGAACAAATGTAGGTATAAACTGTCCCAGTTTAGAGCTGGTGTGGGAGCTCAGGTGACCAAACAGACTTTCAGGCAAAAGAATTACATGGACAATACATGAAAAAGGAAGCTATTTTTTTTGCAAGTGCTTCATTTCCATCAAGGACTATATAATCTTCAATGATAATTTCTCTACCTCTTTGTTGACCCACCTTATCCCATCCCTGCCTCCAACATTCCTTCCCCAGTATCTTTAATGGAATTGCCATTCAATTGCACTCCATTACATTCACGTTTTCCTTATTCCAAACAGATTGTGGCCTTTCTACTTTCAAATGACCATTGGCTTATCCAAACATCTTCACTATTGGCCAATTTTTCCTTGGCTGTTTTCCTCCCCTTCTAATCTCTACTATCTTCACTTCCATTTTTACAATCCTGCTCTTAGCCTTTCCATATTGCAAGCGTGATTCTCCGACTATGAAACTGCCTTCTGCTCTGTGCATTCAGTTGAAGGCCAAGCGAGATGTGAAGATCTAAACCAGATTAGGGCCATCATATTGGGAGAGAAAAAAAATCCCCAATGGAATTCTCTCTCTCATCCCCCACTGCTATTCACAATGAGGATTCCTAAGTAAGGTCAGGATTGGCCCAAGAGATTTTATTGCCTTAGATAAACGATAAGGCAGCCTTCAATTCTTCAGCTTGACTTGGACATAGTTTTCCACCATAATTGAGGGCAGAAAGTTAATTTAGAACAAAGTAATCTTTTAGATCTGTTAGACTGCAATTCATTTTTAAGTGGTGAGCTTGTCTCTGACTTCGGTAATTTTCTCACTACCAAGTCCTCTCTTTCCTCTCCTAGTGAAGAACCATGGGGAACAATGTGTGTGTGTGTGTGTGTGTGTATGAGAGAGAGAGAGAGAGACCATCCTATTGCAAGAATTGATTATTATGGGATAGTTAGTGCAACTATTTGGCTGTAGAATGCTATATGTAGGAAAACCAGACTGACATTATCAGTCCTTAGACATAAGTGGATCATTTGTCACAGAAAGAACCAGCATGAAATTTAATGGGAGTGCAGTCTATTAGTTTTAATTTTTTCTTTTGGAGTCCCTGTTTCAATGCCAACCCTTTTGGGCAACAGGGACCGGTTCCCTGGAGAGAGGTTTTTCTGCGGACTGGAGGGTGCATGGTTTTGTGTGCTGCCTACATCCTGCAGATGTGGCTTTGCTTGTTTGTGTGGACCGGTTGCTGGCAGGCCACGACCCAGTACAGGTCCACGGACTGGGGGTTGGGGACCTCTGCCCTAAACTACATTCTCTTTAAGGGATCCCAAGGGTTAGGTAATAATTAGGCATATCTATCTTGTCTTCATTTTTTAAACTAGGAATTGCAAATGTGGAGGTGTATAAGAGAATGCAGGAAATGGGTTGCAGGGAAAAATGTCCTTATTTGTGGCTCGTTCCTATAAACAAAGGTACAGATAGTCTTCAACTTACAACAGTTCATTTAGTGACCAGTCAAAATTACAACGGCACTGAAAAAAGTGACTTATGACCATTTTTCACATGACCCTTGGTCACGTGATCAAAATTCGGATGCTTGGCAAGTGGTTCATAATTATGACCGTTGCAGTGTCCTGGGATCACGTGATCCCCTTTTGCAAACTTCTGACAAGCAAAGTCAATGGGAAAACCAGATTCACTTAACCATTTTACTAATTTAACAACTGCAATGACTCACTTAACAAATGTGGCAAGAGAAGTCATAAAATGGGGCAAAACTCACTTAAAGTTCTCACTTAGCAATGTAAATTTTGGGCTCCTTTATGGTTGTAAATTGAGGACTACCTGTACACGAAAACATCCAGGGCAGGAGTTGCATGTGCTTTTTTACCAGAGATGCCAAGCACCGTGTTTTTGTTAAAGATAAAAACAGTACAGAGCAAGATTGACCATTAAGAGCCAATCGGAGGGAATTTAGTGTGAACGTGCTTAGAGGCCTTCGATTATCTCACTGTGACCACTGATTTACTAGTTTCTGGGTCAGATTCGTTGCCTGTTTAAACCTCACTGTGTCCCGGGGTCATGTGATCACCTTTTGTAACCTTCTGACAAGCAAAGTCAATGGGGAAGCCAGATTCACTTAACAACTAACTTAACAACTGTGGTAAGAAAAAATTGTAAAATGGGGCAAAGCTCAGTTAACAGTCTCACATTGAGCTCAATTGTGGTTGTAAGTTGAGGACTACCTGTACAATGGAGAGAAATTTGCCTGAAAAATTCTGAGGCTGATTGATGGATGACATGTGGCTAGATGAGAATAGGAGGAAGGTACCTGCATCAGCCATGAAAAGCTCTTGGAGGGGAAGCCATGGAAAGGAGGTTTATTTTACTTCCTGGATGGAAAGGAGGAATGGGTGACAACAAATCTAAAGAAAAGGTCCACTAGCGTTATGAATCTTCCAACCAAACAGCACTTTCACCTGCAGATGTTTAGGTATGACTCTCATGCCCAAAGAACTGGACTCGTAAGTATCTTGTCGTGCAAAATACAATCTGATCACTTTCTTTGTTTCCTTCCTCTAAAGGAGCTCAAGGAATCTGCAACCGAACTTCTCTTTGGCGGGCATGAGACCACAGCGAGTGCAGCCACATCTCTGATTACCTACCTCAGCCTTCACCCTAAAGTGTTGCAAAAAGTGAGAAAGGAATTGCAAGAGAAGGTGGGTCTTGCTTTCAAGGTCTATCTAGGGAAAAAGCTTGGACAGGGCATGAAGCAGAATGACCCGGCCCTCAAAAAAAGCACAGATCCGGGGAGTGGGTAGCTGTAGCCTTTTAACTTGATTTTAATCATGGACTGAATCAGGCCAGATATTATTTATCCAAGATGACTACTTTTTATTGGCTGAGGGTCACAGTTAAGTCTTTAGAGGGTTGCAAATTGATTATGATCATGTGGCATGAGGAGTGGAATTTGAGATTTCTTTGTGCTTTCAAAAATATAACCTGCCCAAATTTAGGGCTTACAATGACAGTTGTCGTGTGTTTCCAGCTTCAAAATGGTAAAAAAAATATGAAGTCAGTTTTCATCAAAATAATCAGTGGGGCCTCTGTAGTTGAAAGAAGGTCCTTAGCATGGACCGTGTGTATGCATACAAATATATTCAAGGTTTTTTTTTACTAAATAGATGGCTTAATCCCACCAAATAATTATAAACAATACAGTAACCTACGCAATTTATATGGAATCTTTCGCTCTGTTTTCAAATTATGCACAATACTATCTAGCCTCTTGGATGTGTACATAGCTTTGCAGTATTCCAGGAAAGCCAATGAGAAATCTTCTCCACTTGTGAAGAAAAATGCAATGTAGCAGGAAGGCTGAAGCAAAGGGAAAAAAAAGTAAATCAAACTAGATTTGTGCACAGAAAATACTGGTGATGTTTTGGTTTAGTCTGCGAGGGTTTCTTCCTCCACGAATTACTTGTTTGAGATATGCTGCATATTTTTGGAATTTCTATTAGTCAAATCAGCCTCTGCTTTACATCTCTTCTAATATTTATCATGATATATCCTCTGCTTCTAGGGATTGTTGGGCAATTGCAGTCAAGAGAAGCTTTTGGGAATGGAAGTCCTGGAGCAGCTGAAATATACTGGCTGTGTTGTCAAAGAGACTCTCCGACTCAGCCCGCCAGTTCCAGGGGGGTTCAGGGTGGCCCTCAAAACTTTTGAGCTCAATGTAAGTAAGAGATCACGAAGTTTGTGATTTCCTAAATGCATCTCTTGTGTAAGGCTGATGATTTAGAAAGACTTTTAAATTTTAAAATATATTTTAATACTTCTAGGTCTGAAATATTTTATGTATGGAACAGCTTGTTTGGCTGATCCATGGCCTGAATCAAGAGATGGTGTTTGGGATGTTTCAGCTCATGCATGGAATGAAATGGGACCCTTTTGTGGTCTATGAGTGGATTTGCTCTGTGAAGAAGTGACTGGGTCAGAGGAAGTGGGAATAAGCATTGGGCCGCTAATAACAACGGCTTAGGTGAGGAAAGACCCTGGGAAAATTTAGGGCTGCAATCTGGTGAAAGGAAAGAAGGAAATGCACAGTGTTCTGGCCATATATAGTACTTGTTCAGATTTTGTTTTGCCTCAACAATCTGAACTGAATTTATGTTTCAGTTGTGCTGAACCATGGCTGATCTGAAATGGTTCAGCCAAATTTCCAGGGCACAAAATTAAACACGTTCATCTGTTTGTGCACACCTGTATTGCTTAGGCACTAACTAAGAATGTTATTAACTAAGCTGAATATATCATTATATCACAAGGAGAAGAAGAGATATTCAGCCCATTGGGCAATAAATGCCTCTTGCCACTATAACAAAAATAAATGTTCAAAGACGTCTTTCCTCCTACAGTCCATTGTGCAATAGTGTAGGGCAGATGTTGAAAACAAATTTTCCTATTCTGGTAGCAAGTGTCAGTTTTGACAGAGAGATGGTAGTTTTGGTATTATCATGGCTTGTGATTCTTGTGGAATTAAATGAAGGGACAACCCTAACCCTGTACTAAATATTTCTTGGGGATTTCAAAAATCTACTTCACAAATGGAAAGCAATAGAAATATTCAATAAAATCATATTTATTGTGTTGCAATGAACACACAGACACATTAAGTAGGCTTTAGAATGTTTTCTTCTTCTTCTTTAAACTTTCTTCTCCACTGGTTTGATATCTTATAGGGTTCCATAATTTGTTTCATTGTGTTAGAATAAATTTCTGCATTGGCAATCCATTCACTGATGAAGAATAGACAAATAGGTGGCTTAATGAGGTGTTAGCATTATGTATAATTAAACACACACATACACAAATGCATGTTGGATGGAGTATCACCTCCTACTGAGCCAGGAATTCACCTCTGAGCAGATTACTTCACTTGTATTTAGTAGTTCCTAAATGCTTGCTGTATGTGCTTAGGAAGTGATACTTGAAATTATGTCTATCTCTCAAAAAGTAATCGGTTCCGAAGAATAACCACACAAAGAAGCTTGGTTCTCGGCATGGGTCAATCTTGGTGGGTTAGAGTATAGCCTGGAGACTTAGGAATTTCTTCTCCAATGCCTTTGTAGTAAAGTGCATTAAAGTTCCAAATGGCCACCTTTCTATGTGACTCTAGTAATTGCAATCATCTCAACCTGGTGCCCTCTTTCTATGTTGAAATTGCAGTTTCGGGAATCCCTCAGTCAACATGGCCTTCAGCCAAGCTGCAGAAGGCTGTTGTATACATCATACTTGCTAACAGTAATCATTGAATGTCAGTCTTTGCCCCACTGACCTTCCCTCCATAAGTGCAGGGGTCAGTAACCTGGGTAAACTTCAAGCTTTGCAAAAGTATAAGGCATTGGGGAAATAAAATGTCAGAATTACCTGAGCTGCAATATTTAGACAATTAGTTCAATAGAATTGCCCTCTTCTTCCAGATAAATTATCTTTATAATGGTAAATCATCTTTATAATGGTTCTTTCAACTACTTGTTGTTCAATTATTCATATGCTCTTAGGAAGCATTGATGGACAGGTTATAAAGTGGCTGGTTATACGAAGCAAATGCATCTAACGCTGGCTTGTCTGTTTCTCATAGGGATACCAGATTCCAAAAGGCTGGAATGTTATATATAGCATCAGTGACACCCACAGTGTAGCCGAACTTTTCACCAACAAGGAAGAATTCAACCCTGACCGTTTCATGGCTCCTTTCCCAGAAGATGCGTCACGATTTAGTTTCATTCCTTTCGGAGGAGGCTTGAGAAGCTGTGTGGGCAAAGAGTTTGCCAAACTTCTTCTCAAAATATTCACAGTAGAGTTGGCTCGGAATTGTGATTGGCAGCTTTTAAATGGACCTCCAATAATGAAGACCGGCCCAACTGTTTATCCAGCGGACAATCTCCCTACAAAATTTACCACTTTTAAAGGCTGAGACTAATTCCATTTAAAGCTTGCACACCAGCTTTTTATAATGTCTTAAGTTCAATGTTGTATAATTAACTTTATAAAGTCATAATAGTTATTTATAAAGTGTTCTTTTAAAAATGTTTCTTATATTAAACTTAGTTTTTTTTAAGCAAACATTATAATTGCGGATCCTTGGGGTTCATAACTGGATAAATTTATTTCTATAGAAATAAAGTTTTATTTAAGAAACCTGTTCAAAACTTTTTAAAGCAATTATAGGGAAATATTGGAGAAACTACGCACCAGCACAGTTCTGAAGACATTTAAAGACCATTGCAATTATGAAGTCTCAGAGCATGTCAAAAGACAAAATCACACAAACGTTAAAAGACACAGTTAAAATTAAACCTGAACCCAGTAACCCAGTGCAGTATCATAGCCCAGAAAACTCCATTGTGAACTGCTTATGGGGAGCGGTCCATAAGGGACTCAACTGGGTCTTCCCTGGGAGATTGTTCCCAAGCTACCTCTGAGAAGTGCTGCTGCTGAGTCTCAGGCCCCCTTTACCTCTGCAAAGCGAAGAAACTGCTAGCAACTTCTGGGGATAGATAGGACTGGCTGGGCTTATTTCAGTGAGAAATATGGTCCTACAGATAACTGCAATAAGCCATGTGGGGCTCTATAGGTTAGCAATCAGCAAATTGCACCCCAAAGCTTACTAATAACCACTGAAGGACCAACAGCAATGGTAACTGCTACCGCTGTCAAAGGCAGACTAGTGCACGGCTCAGGGCATTTCAAACCAACCACAATTTCCAAAAGGTCTTTGAAGACAAGTCCATATGGAGCAGGTTTCAGTTACCTGACAAAGGCATGAATTACTGTACCAAGGTCCTCCTTCCCCAGGCTGTATCAAAGCCGATGCACAAGCAAAATTAGGGAAAGTGCTCCTGGTTATGACCTTTATGTGTAGTCCTTGTCTTGCAGCCATTTATTTAGCAACGGTTCAATGGCACTGAAAATAATGACTTATGAAAGGTCTTCACACTTAGGCCATCACAACATCTCCATGGTCACGTGATCAAAATTGGGAGTATTTGGTAATCAGCATGTATTTATGATGTCTGCAGCATCATGGGGTCATGTGAAAGCCATCTGTGATCTTCCCAGCTGGATTTTGACAAGCAAACTCAATGGGGGAAGTTGGATTCACTTGACTGCATGATTCACTTACCAGCTAACAGTGACCTGCTTAACAACCATAGCAAAAAAAAGGTCATTGTCAGCAATGACAATTATGCTCTCAGTTGTGGTTATAAGTCAAGATGCTGCACATAAAGAAGGCTGCTCAAATTACAGATCTCTTTTAATCAGAGATAATACCACTCTAACTCTGACTTGCTTGGATTCAATTTAAGAGTGGATTGTCTGACCCAGACCCTTATAGCTTCCAAGTACTGAAACAGGACTTTAAGGGCATCATCAGTCTGGCCTGGGGTTGTGATGTATCATCTGCATGTTATAATATGAAACCTGAAAATGATTCATACCATGCCTACAATCCCCAACTTCTGCAGGTGGCCCAGAAGGGTGCCATATTGCACATCAATGAGAGGTCTAACAGGGTCAGGAAAGGTTTCCTTCCCCACCCAGGTCCTGACCAATGCAGTTTCCATTCCATGCATAGGCCTGAGCCTTTTCTAAAAAAGATCCTGATAAACTATTTCCTCCAGGGCAGTAGTCCCCAAACCTTTGGGGACCAGGGACTGGTTCCATGGACCACAGGGGGCATGGTTTCGCATGCTGCCTGCATCCCATGGATGGCCCAGTTTCTGGCATGCCACAGCCCAGTGCCGGTCTGCAGACGAGGGGTTGGGGACCCCTGCTCTAAGGTGCTGTGTACTTGACTCCCCATAGGATCTCAACAGCCTTTTTGAAAATGGGAAGAGTGGGTAGTAGTTGACTAACACCTCTGGATGCAGGAAGGATTCTTAAGGAGGGGGCACACTATAGCCTTGTTCAAAACATCCCCTTCCCCAATGAGATAATAATCTCAATTTCCCCATCCAGAAAACTACCCCACTCTCCAGCTGCATGAAGGAGCCAAAAGGGGTAGGATCCAACCTGCAAATAGTACAGGGTTTTTTAGAGAGCACTTTGTCCACTCCATTGTCCACCCAAACCAAAAGGAATCCCAGAGATCTAGGCAAGATATGCTCCAGTCATCCCTCCAGATTCCGCTCACATAGAGTCAAAACTTGAATGACTCTGAGTGACTTTACTGACAAAATGTTGTGCTATTTAATCACAGTGCCTGGGCAGGAATGCTTGATGCTGTTTTTCTCCTAATGGAATCAGCCACCTGAATCAAGCTGCTGGATGACAACTTACTGAAGCCATAAAAGAGGAAAACTAATGACGTCTCACCTCTCTTATCACAGAAAAGGCCTGAACATGTGCACGTACTTGTGCTTGATTAGGTATACTTCTTGTCCATTCACTGGTCTTCAAGCACTACTCTGCTGCTTCCTCACTGGTCTTCAAGCACTACTCTGCTGCTTCCTCTCCTTAAAGCCCTAAGTCACTGTTTCTCATCCTTGACAACTTTAAGATGCGTGGACTTGAACTCCCAGAATTCCTTAGCCAGCATGGCTATCTGGAGAACATGGGTAATTGAAGTCCACACATCCTAAATATTAAATGGATAGTGACATCAGGCAGGATCAACCAGCATATTATGTAAATTATACTAGTTATCTTCACTTCATAATGGCTATCAAGATTGCTTGAGCATTTGAGTTTAGTAATAGAGCATTTCAAGCTGTGTTCCTTGGAACTTAAGATTCCACAAAAACTTGACAGGATTGTGTGAAAGACTAAGGGGAAACAATAACTTGAATACAGCCTCTTTTTTTTAACTTTTAGAGCTTTGACTTTTGAATCTGGTCCAGGAATCTTTTTGTTAACAGCCTGAAAATGTTTGATCCCCCCCCCCCCCGATTATAGAAGGTCACAAATTGTCTCTGAAGCACTACCTTGATGTAGCAGTTTTACCTCAAGGATAATCTATATCTTCAGCTCCATAAATCTTAGCCATGACAGCCAATGGCAAAATATATGAAAATTGTATTCTAGAATAGATGAAGTCTTCCAAGTTTCTTTTTTGTATACTAATGTCCTTTCAAAAAATATCTTCAAGAGAGAGGATGTGCTCAATATTTCTATAACTGATTTAAGAATGAAAGAAAAAATATCCCTATATTTATTATTGTTTTCCAAAAAGTGAAAATGAGTAATATTTGTTTTTGTTGTATCCTGTTGTTGCATTGGATTAATATTACCAAACCATTGCACCCTAACAAATTAGCCCAAACAAATTTCAGCTATACTGATCACATTTCTGCTACAAAACTCTTGTATTCTTGTTCTACTCTTGAACCATTTGTCCAAATTATATCAGCATATGCTGATGGACAAGGTAATATCTATAAAAACCATCACATACAGCCTGGTCATTTGCTTCTCTCCCCACTGCCTTATCTGGCTTTTAAAAGAGAGAGAAATTCCATGGAGAGAAGTTCTGTGGATGGCTAAATTTCATTCATGGCAGGGGTGTCAAACTGCCGGCCCACGGGCTGGTTTCATCATACTGGAGCTGCGCCCACCCCATTGCCAGCAATGGCGAAAAAGCTCCGATATGTTGCACGACGTCACGTGATGTCATGAGTTTGACATGCCTGATTCATGGCAACTATATGAAGCTATCTGATCAACGCAGGTAATACATACCTGAGTATCAGCTGGTTCCTCTGCAGAAACAGTAGCATGCTGTTCCTTAATATCCTACTGATAGATACAGTATTCTGAAAGCAGCTGATATGGAGTTATGTGGACTTCAGGTTTAATCCACTGTTTGCTTACTAAAATTTTGAGGATTTCATGCCCGTGGTTGTGTTTGCTCAGGTTGATAAGGGCTATTTTCTTTCTTTCTTTCCAAAGAAACATGAACATCTGGTCTGTTTTGGATCAGCCTTTATCAAAAAGTTGAACTACTAGGTTGTAGGTCAGAAGGTTTTCATCCTATTGGCTCTAATATGTCCTTCACCTACCTTGGAATCTCTTCGTTTCCTTCCTAGCTTATGGCTGTAAATAAAAAACATGGTCATATGGTCCATGTGTGCCTGAGATGGATAATATGGCCCAGGAATGACCTTCTGAACCTTGGCTAACCTTAAAGACATACATTCACTCAACATTTCTACCTCAACTGCAGTTGTGGCCTTTGCTAAGTACCTCAATGCTAGCACGAAGGCAATTTAGCTGGGTCAATAGTTAAAAAAAACAACAGTTTTTCACATACATCATTCCGTCCATGTAAATAAAACACAATCTGTTGAACTATTGAGTATTTCAAGCGTGCTGGACAGATATGATTCTCCTTTTTCCACAGGAAGAGAACCTTTCAGCATGCTCAAAGCAACTGTTGAGGCCACCTACTAACTGTACATTTCTGCTATTGAGTTTATTAGCTTAGGAACATTTGAGATTTTTACACAGGGAGAAAGTTTTGAAAAAAAATCCAATCTTCTCTTTCTTGGATCAATACTACAATCCACAGGAAAATTTGCCCCTGCCTTTTAAGTATAGTTACATCAGCACACTAAAAAAAAAGGATATTGTAGAACTGAAAAAAGTATAGAAAAGAGCAGCCAGTATTATCAAAGAAATGGAACAGTGTCCCTACAATAGTCAGGATTTATTAACTTAGTAGAAAGATGAGGAAGGAAAGCCATGACATCAATAAAGTTTTTCTGCCTCTGAATTTTGGGATTTAATGATATTAATCATCATGATTATATCATTTTATCACACAGATAAAACACCATATAACACAGGTAAACTCTGTCACTGCAAGATGTAGTAAGACCCACCAACTTGGACAGTGTTAAAAGGAATTAAATACATTAAAGGGGAGGGCAGCTCTCTGCATCTTCTAGTGAAGTCAGGAACATATTCCAGGATAAAAACATATAAACATCTTCACACCAACTGTTGTGGAAACAGAAGTGGGAGGA